TTAGGGTTTAGGGTTTATGATTAGGGTTTAGGGTTTATGATTAGGGTTTAGGGTTTAGGGTTTACGATTAGGGTTTATAATTTGGGTTTACGATTACAAGGGTTTACGACTAGGGTTTAGGGTTTACGATTATAAGGGTTTGCGATTAGGGTTTAGGGTTTAGGGTTTAGGGTTTAGGGTTTACAGGTTTGTCGGGTATGGGTGCGGGTCTGCATAAGAAGAAGTCTGCAGTATAACAGCTGCGAGGAGCAGCAAAAGGGTTAATCTTTTTTAGCTGAGCTAAGTCAGCGTCCGATACATTAGCCCCTAAACAAAACACAGAAACAAACAAAGAGCAGTGCTAGGGTTTAGGGTTTAGGGTTTAGTATTTTATTAGGGTTTAGGGTTTATTATTAGGGTTTTTTGTTAGGGTTTGTAATATTAGGGTTTAGGGGTTAAGGCAGACGACAGGGACATGAGTCAATAGGCAGCAGCAGCAGCAGCAGCAGCAGCAGCAGCAAGAGCAGCAGCTGCTGCTGCCACACCCGTAGCGGCAAATGAAGCAGCAACAACAGCAACACTCACAGCAGCAAGTGCAGCAGCAGCAACACATGCAGCAGCAAATGCAGCAACAAGACCCGCGGCAGCAACAACAGCACCAGCACCCGCAGCAGCAGCAGCACGAGCAGCAGCAGCACGAGTAACAGCAGCAGCAGCATAACCTGCTTCGAACTCGTTTTGTTTTGGGGTGTATACGCAGCTTACCGGGTTGATATCTTAAATCAAAGGCATAGGTAGAACCAGCAGAAGCGGGTGGAGCAGCAGCAGCAGCACCATCAGCAGCAGCAGCAGCAGCAACAGCAGCAGAGTCTCCCTTGCTGCAGAATGCATACACTTCATAATCAGCATACACCCCACGGCCCGCAAAACCCAACTCAGAATCATCACACAGAGCTCGAAGCCAAGCTGGAGCTCTCCTTGCTGCTGCTGCTGCTGCTGCTGCTGCTGCTGCTGCTGTGGATGACGAATCCTCCTCAGCAGCAGCTCCTTCGCTCCCAGCTGCTGCTGATGCAGGCTTTGCTCCTGCTGCTTCTGCTGCTGCTGCTGCTGCTGCTTTGATCTCTCTCTCTGCTTCTCTTAAGTCAATCCAACTACACAACACAAATCCCTCCGGGCACTGACACCTGCAGCAGCAGCAGCAGCAGCAGCAACAGCAACAGCAGCAGCAGCAGCAGCAACAGCAGCAGCATTGGCAGTAGTAGGCAGCAGCGGTTGTAGTTGCTGCAGTTTGAGCGGATTACTCTGCTTTTGTGGCTGG